CTTTATTTTTTAAATGATTAAAAAGTGGTTTGAAGGATAGTGGCAAAAGACTAAAAAAGACTAAAAAATTATATTTTGTATTTTATATATATATATATAATAATATTTTGTATTTATTTAAATTAGTATTTTGGGGCTGCACTATGATCCTAATATACTGTGTTTGAATATATCATCAAATGATTATTGTTCTAAATATGCCTGAAAAAAAAAAGAATATATATATATATATATATATAATGAAAATATATATATTCTTTTCTTTTTTTTTCAGGCATATCAAAATATTTCTATTTCTAATTATAACATTATTCTGTTTCTTCATTAAAATAATGGCAGATATCTAGAAACGTAGTAAAGAATTGTAAGAAAAACATTTAAAAGCATAAAAGAATGTATAGTAGCCAACAAATCCCCTCAGTTTGCTGACACCAATGAAATGAGCTTTAAGTGTCAATTTACAGGAGATCTGAAGACATCAGCATAATAAATGAGGTGAAAACAGGAACTACTGTCATGAAATAAAGAGTGTTTTCAGCAGATCTGTTAATATTGATGATCCTCAGACTATCAACACTCATTCAACAAGCCATTCAGGATCATCAGCAGATCATCTCACTTTATTCTGAGTGTTTGCTGTTAGAAACAAATGATCTGAGTCAGGTTAAAAGCCTATAAAACTGCTCAATTCTGTCATTTCTCACAACATGACATGGATAAAACATCAAAAATATTAATAAACTAATGACACTCAGGTTATAACTATAATATGTCCATAATATATAGGACTGATAGCACATGTACATCTCAGAGACCTCTTTTTGATGTGTGTGTTTTCATCTAGAAGACGTATTTTTTAGAGTATCTGCTCATCTGCGATGTGTCTATTCCTGTCAGATGTTAAAAAAACATTAAGAATATGTCTTTAAGATGTTTATGATTTAGAATGTATGTAAAACTGACTTTTTAAAGAGGTTTATTCGATAAACATATTTTAAAAAGTCAGATCAAGATGTCTCTCCTCTGGAAAGCTTCTGCTGTGTACATCTGTTAAACCTTAAAGGATCACTCCACCGTTTTTTCATATTATACTATGTTCGGTAACTAAGACGAGTTGATACACACCTCTCTCGGCTCAATCGCTCTGGCGCGCGGCGACTCGTTGATAGCAGTTAGCTTAGCTTAGCCCAGTTCATTCATTAGGATCCAAACAGAGATGAAGTTAGTTTAAGCGACCAAACACCTTCACGTTTTCCCTATTTCAGACATCCTCATAGACAGTAAAAGAAAAGACATCCCAAGAGTCCCAAGAATTCATTTCCGGGAGGTAAATCTCGCTGACAGGATTGTGGGGGTGGGGGAGGGCTAGCTTTCGCGTTCGCGCGGCACACTCTCAAGGTCTCTCCCTCTCTACAGTGCACGCCCGCGCGCGCTACACGCGCAGTATGTTGTATCTCGCTCTAAATTCCGGGAGATTTTAACTAATTTGCGGGCATCAGGGACACGCTATTAATATGCGGGAGACTCCCGACAATGGCCATAAAACTTACAAATAAATAGCAGCAGCAACATGTCCAGTTTCAAACTTCATTAATATTTAGGCTATGTTAACATATCAATTTTATATTTATAATTTATAGATTTTAACTTTCTCAACGTTCATTACTCATTACAGTGTTTTATAATCGGCTCTATTAAAATTTTAACAATATAATCTGCAAAAATTTTATGTCAACAAGAAATATAAAGGTAAAAATGAAAAAACGGCAGCTTTTCTGTTTGATATACAGTCCATTAGTGCGTGGCTCACAGTTTCTATACTTCTCCACATATAATTGTTTTCCTTCCTAAATAATACCATCCTTCCTAAACCTTTATTAATATTGTGTCTTTTAAAAAGTGTCTGCCAAATGCATAAATGTAATCTGTGATTAAAAACTCTCCCTAGCAGTTTTAAATGCAGAGATGGCAATAAATTACTCTATTTTCAGTAGCACATTTCACTCATTTGTTATTATGTTACAGTACATTTGGCTTTTCTTTTCATTTAGAGTCGTTTCTAAGGAGTATAATAGTAAACATTGATTAATGGTAACTAAAAAACTGCAAATATTTTTTTCCAGTGGTGAGGACGCTAAAGGGTTAATAAGGGTTTAACAAAGGGTTAAACAAATACTTTATTCCCTTTACATTACAAAACTTTGTTTGTGTGTACAATTTATTACATGTTTTGTTATGAAAGTGATTAACGTAAAGCACATATACACAATGACAACATCGTCTTTTGATCAATACTAGCTACTATAAAAGACTACTCCTGTCAGATGATTAGATGTTTATTCGATAAACATGTTGTAAAAAGTCAGTTCAAGATGTCAGTCCTCTGGAAAGCTTCTGCTGTACATTTGATAAACCTTAAAGGAAAACTCCACCGTTTTTTCATATTATATTATTTTATAATAGTATAACTAAGACGAGTTGATACACACCTCGGCTCAATCGCTCTGACGCGCGGCGACTCGTTGATAGCAGTTAGCTTAGCCCAGTTCATTCATTAGGATCCAAACAAAGATGTTAGCAGCGACCAAACACCTTCACGTTTTCCCTATTTAAATACAAAGACAATGGCCATAAAACTTACAAATAAAGAGCAGCAGCATTATTCAACAGTTTTAAACTTAATTAGGCTAATATTTAGGCTATCTTATAAATTTTATTATATATATTTATCATTTATTTATAGATTTGAACTTTCTCAACGTTCATTACTCATTACAGTGTTTATAATCGGCTCTATTAAAATTTTAATAATATAATCTGCAAAAATTGATAGAAAAATAAATAAAAATGGATGATGCTGTAGAATCAAAATGGTAATTTACTACAAATGTTGCAACTTCTCATCCCCGAAAATTTCAACGACTGATTAAACAGTTTTCTGTGACGGTCGTAAATCCTTTATTGTCACGTGGTCACAAGTACCAGCAAAATTGGTCATCAACTTGTCCATACAAACATATACGAAACCACGAGGGGTTAGACAGGACAGGACAGCATATCTGTATATGTGTAAGAGTTCGTTTGTGTGTGTGTAGGCCTGGAGACTCGCTATGCCTGGCACCATAATCTAGGCGCCTCAGTCCGCAGGATTGTCATAGCGAAACACAGCAAGTTACCATGGAGAAAACCTTGATCAGGTGCCAGACAGAGACAACAATCACCAGGTGTCTGGGGAGTCAGGGAAGAAACGCAAGAGCGGCTCACTGCAGTGCTCTTCCGGGGGAGTTGTTGTTCCAAGGCCAGTGCTGGTTGAGGGCGGCCGAAAACAGATAAGATTGGGATTGTTGGGCAAGAAGCCGCATTCAATTTACACAGCTATTCTCATTTTGGTCTCCACGATCCATTTGCCTTTGCAAAGCTGTGAGCTTCTCCATGATGTTAAACAAATGTCGTGTTTTAGGTGTACGGGATAAAAAATATACTTTAGGTTGCCGTTAAACAAAATCTTAACAGTAATCTTCTAAAAGATAAATAGAAGATACGAATGTGTTAAAACTATAAAGATTTAATTTAAACTAATGTCTTATAGCCACCATATGTTGAAACCTGTTTGCCCTTTATGTTCTCTTAGCAAAACAGGAGTGACAATGATGTGATGCAGACACCCTTGTAAGATTTTTGTGTAAGGCAGAGACCTCATACTGAACACACACACACACACACACACACACACACACACACACACACACACACACACACACACACACACACACACACACACACACACACACTAACACACACAGAGAAGACCAAAGGACACTGGCCTGCCATGCACTGACTTTTGAAAGAGAAAACAATCTGGGATCTTTAAACTCATTGCAATTGTGTTCCTCATTCATGTATTATGTTTTCTTCAGTACTCTGAAACGGTAAGATGATCTTATTTTTCGTCACTCCATTCGTAAAGCTGTATGAAAATGATATGGTTTTATTTTTTGTCATCCATTCATAAAACCGGCCTAAAAAAGTAAGATTTTATTTTTTGACACCCGTTCATAACCCGTATATTTTATTGTCCAGTTTGATGACCTGTTGTCCCATATCGGAGAGAGGATAACCCTCGCCCTCACCCATATAATCGGTCATTTATTTTTGTTTTGATGATATGGAGCCAGCTTCCAAAAGTGATTAACCTGTCCTGTGATTTTATTTTCTCACAAAACACTGTCCAGACACAAACTATATTCTTGCACTATGTATGTTGGTTGTCTGTCTTTACATTAGAATAATAATGTTTCATATAACCTAGATTAGATTTGGATTAAATAGCATTTAATACTAAATGAATATGTCTCATAAATTGAAATCAAGTTTGTATGTGATACAATATTTGCTTTGTTGTGCATTAGAACCATGACCATTTAGTCATATTACAAAATAGTTTATTGAGGCCAAACACCATTCACGTTTGGTGTGAACGCAGCATTAAAAGAGGCCAACATTAAACCATATTGCTAGGGGTGCTAATTGCTAATTCGGGTGAAGAAATGCGGATGTCTTTTATAGTTTCCCTTTTTAAATTATTGTCTTTGAATTGTTCTGAAACTAATGCAAAACGAAACCATTCTTTGGTTAACAAAACTTTCAAAACAGTGATTTTTTCCCCCCTAGAAATATCTTTATTTTGTTGTAGTTTAGATATTGTGGTGAGATCTGGTATTTACCTCATTGCCTGAATAACCCCTAGTAAGGGAGTCTTGTGCTGTCAGCTCAGGTTTACTACACTTGGCTATTTTTTTATACCAGTTAAATATAAGGTATGTCCTATAACACCATATACAACCATAACAATGTTTGACTCGAATAATCTTTCATGCTTACTATCCGGTGAAAGCTTCCTGGATCTCTTTTTGTCCTGGTCAGTGAAGATGTACAAAATGCCTATTCTAATGCTAATTGAATGATCTTTGAACAGCGAAAAAAAATACTTGTCTTTATATAAGAAAAGTTTATTTAAACAAAAAAGAAATATACTTGGTTACACAAACAAAAAAGTTTAGCAAAATAACAAAAGCTTGCATATTATGAGTCTTCAGCTTCAGTCCTGGAGAACTGGATGTACATCTTTAAATGTATGACTGTAACAGGTTATGGGAATGTTTCAGGATGATTTCTAAGGTTACAGCGGTATACAAATACAACAAGCTTCTTATGATTCTTAAGGTTTTGTTTACTGATGAAACTGTTCCCACACTGACCACATGTGTATGGTCTCTCTCCGGTGTGGATCCTCATGTGTCTCTTAAAGTTTCCTTTATCCGTGAAGCTCCTCCCGAATTGATCACATGAGTAAGGTTTCTCTCTGGTTCTTCCATCGGGTCTAAAAGAAACATTAAATCATGTGACATTTCAAACGAAAGAAAAATGTGAAATAAAGAGTGAAGTAATTAAACCAATCCAAACATGACAGGGTTTCAGCACTTAAAGAAAGTTGAGATTCACTGCACTAGCATTTGCGTACAGTCCAAAATTTTCTTACATTAAAGGGATAGTTCACCCCAAAATGAATATTCTGTAATGTTACGTTCACACCGGACGCGAGTAGCGCGTCAAATTCGTGTCTAATTTGACGCTTGACCACTTTGTGTTAATTCGCGTGTCAAGAGTGAAACTGACGCGCATAAATCAAAAGTTTGAATCGGAATTGGTTAACGCGGCGCGAATTGACACCAAAGTTCAGATTTTTCATCTCGGACGGCAGGCGCGAATTTGCGTCAAACGCGTGAGTGCACAAATAGCACTAACTAAATCATTCGAATGAGGCGTATTCGCGTCTACCGCGCCACACTCTACACCTCATTCGTGCCGCAGGAATTTTTTTTAATTTCGTAGCGCATCTTTGCATTGACAGCGACGAGAATACTTTTTGAGCGCCAAAAAAATTATAACGACTTTATTCAAGTATTCATTTTCACCTCTGTCGGCCTCCAGATAGTTCACGTAGTGTAACAGCGTACTGCTTCTGTGTTATACGTCACACGTAGGCTCACTATTGGCGACGCTGGTCATGTGTGTGATGCGTGAGACGTTCAACCAGAAACATTACGCATACTAAGTGAAATCTGAGGCCGATCAAGGTGGAAATGAATACTTGAATAAAGTTGTAATTTTTGTTTTGTTTTTTTGCGCTCAAAAAGTATTCTCGGCGCTTGATAAACTTAAGATCTAGCCACTGTAGTCATTTGGACTATTTTAACGATGTCTTTAATGACTTTTTTGGGCTGTCAAGTTTCAATCCCTTAGAAGCCCATGGAGGAGTGATCCAGCTCTCAGATTTAATCAAAAACATCTTCATTTGTGTTCTGAAGATGAACGAAAGACTTATGGGGTTGAACAACATGAGGGATAGTAAATACTGACAGAATTTTCATTTTGGGGTGAACTATTACTTTTTAGTTTTGTTCCCCAAGTATCTTCTCATTAAACGGTCTGTACACTTACAAAGTTCTCAATGTTTTGCGTATGGACCCTCATTATGTTACTGTGTTAGTGTGGGGCTATTTTGAGCCTTGTTAGTGGTATAAACTGGCGATTTCTTTTTACTTAGTAAATGCCCCCAGTACTAGCATTATACGCTAAACAGTTTTTAGAGATAAAACTCTTTACATTCGATTATCATGAAAACAAATCTCAGAGAACGGTTGACTAGGTACCGATGTTTTATTAGAACAAAGGTTTGTTTTGCATCGGAGTTCTACTTTAATGTCCCCCATGCATTCCAACAAAGGATGAATTAAATCACCAGCTTTTAACGGTAGGTACAACTGTGAATCATCTGCATAAAAATGAAACTTGTGAAAATTGTGATTCCTAATAATATCCCCCAACTAGTCCCACTTTGGCAAGAAAAATTAATTATAACTATCTTGTGGCCCCAGATTGTAACTCGTGGCCTCAAGATTCTATCTCGTGGCCTCAAGATAGTAACTCGTGGCCTCAAGATACTAACTCGTGGCCTCAAGATACTAACTCGTGGCCTCAAGATACTAACTCGTGGCCTCAAGATACTAACTCGTGGCCTCAAGATACTAACTCGTGGCCTCAAGATACTAACTCGTGGCCTCAAGATACTAACTCGTGGCCTCAAGATACTAACTCGTGGCCTCAAGATACTAACTCGTGGCCTCAAGATACTAACTCGTGGCCTCAAGATAGTAATTTGTGGCCTCAAGATACTAACTCGTGGCATCAAGATAGTAACTTGTGCCTCAAGATAGTAACTCGTGGCCTCAAGATACTAACTCGTGGCCTCAAGATACTAATTTGTGGCCTCAAGATACTAACTTGTGGCCTCAAGATAGTAACTCATGGCCTCAAGATACTAACTTGTGGCCTCAAGATACTAACTTGTGGCCTCAAGATAGTAACTCGTGCCTCAAGATACAAACTCATGGCCTCAAGACAGTAACTTGTGGCCTCAAGATACTATCTCATGGCCTCAAGATACTAACTTGTGGCCTTAAGATTGTAACTTGTGGCCTCAAGATAGTAATTCGTGGCCTCAAGATAGTAATTCGTGGCCTCAAGATAGTAACTCGTGGCCTCAAGATAGTAATTCGTGGCCTCAAGATAGTAATTCGTGGCCTCAAGATAGTAACTCGTGGCCTCAAGATACTAACTCGTGGGTCGTGGCCTCAAGATAGTAACTCGTGCCTCAAGATACTAACTCGTGGCCTCAAGATACTAACTCGTGGCCTCAAGATACTAACTCGTGGCCTCAAGATACTAACTCGTGGCCTCAAGATACTAACTCGTGGCCTTAAGATTGTAACTTGTGGCCTCAAGATAGTAATTCGTGGCCTCAAGATAGTAATTCGTGGCCTCAAGATAGTAACTCGTGGCCTCAAGATAGTAATTCGTGGCCTCAAGATAGTAATTCGTGGCCTCAAGATAGTAACTCGTGGCCTCAAGATACTAACTCGTGGCCTCAAGATACTAACTCGTGGCCTCAAGATACTAACTCGTGGCCTCAAGATACTAACTCGTGGCCTCAAGATACTAACTCGTGGCCTCAAGATACTAACTCGTGGCCTCAAGATAGTAACTCGTGGCCTCAAGATAGTAACTCGTGGCCTCAAGATACTAACTCGTGGCCTCAAGATAGTAACTCGTGGCCTCAAGATAGTAACTCGTGGCCTCAAGATACTAACTCGTGGCCTCAAGATACTAACTCGTGGCCTCAAGATACTAACTCGTGGCCTCAAGATACTAACTCGTGGCCTCAAGATACTAACTCGTGGCCTCAAGATACTAACTCGTGGCCTCAAGATACTAACTCGTGGCCTCAAGATACTAACTCGTGGCCTCAAGATACTAACTCGTGGCCTCAAGATAGTAACTCGTGGCCTCAAGATACTAACTCGTGGCCTCAAGATACTAACTCGTGGCCTCAAGATACTAACTCGTGGCCTCAAGATACTAACTCGTGGCCTCAAGATACTAACTTGTGGCCTCAAGATACTAACTCGTGGCCTCAAGATAGTAACTCGTGGCCTCAAGATACTAACTTGTGGCCTCAAGATACTAACTTGTGGCCTCAAGATACTAACTCGTGGCCTTAAGATAGTAACTCGTCGCCTCAAGATACTTGGCCTCAAGATACTAACTCGTGGCCTCAAGATACTAACTTGTGGCCTCAAGATACTAACTCGTGGCCTTAAGATAGTAACTCGTCGCCTCAAGATACTTGGCCTCAAGATACTAACTCGTGGCCTCAAGATAGTAACTCGTGGCCTCAAGATACTAACTCGTGGCCTCAAGATACTAACTCGTGGCCTCAAGATACTAACTCCTGGCCTCAAGATAGTAACTCGTGGCCTCAAGATACAAGATCTTGAGGCCATGAGTTACTATCTTGAGGCCACAAGATAGTTATAATTAATTTTTTTTGCCAAAGTGGGACTAGGGGGGCTCCGTACCCAACGGATGCATATACAAGTTAAAAAGAAGGGGGGACCCAAAATAGATCCCTGAGGAACTTCACTAATAATAGGAGCAGAAGATGATGTACCTACCTCAACTGAAAATAGACCTGTCTTCAAGATATGATCTAATCCACTTTAAGGCCATGCCCTTGATACCGAAGAAATGCTCTAAACGCCAAATAAGAACACTATGGCCTACAGTATCAAAGGCAGCCGTAAGATCAACAATTGCCCGTCTGATTCTTGTTTTTGATGATCAATACAAACTTTAATTACTAGGGCTGATCAATACAAACTAGGGCTGCAAGAAGGAATTGATTAAATCGAGCATGAAAATAATCTACCACCACGATAGTTATAGATTAATTGTGTGCTCAATCATGTCAATTTACAGTGGAGAAAAACATTCCTATGGACAAAACGCACGGGGAACACAACTGGAACCTTTTCTAAATGTGGAAAAGCAGCTTTTGTTGCTCAGCACATAAAGATGAACTACTTACCGTGATCTCAGACTGTGGTGATGTGGTTTCTCCACTGCATGGATCTTCATGTGTAGCTTCAGGTCACTTTTAATAGAGAAACTCTTTCCACACTGATCACACGTGTGCGGCTTCTCTCTACTGTGGATCCTCTCATGTGATCGCAGATTTGCTGAGTCACTGAATCTCTTTTCACAGTGTGAACACTTGTAAGGTTTTTCTCTACTGTGGATCCTCTCGTGTGTTTTCAGATGTGATGAGTCACTGAATCTCTTGTCACAGTGTGAACACTTGTAAGGTTTTTCTCCAGTGTGGATCCTCTCATGTGTTTTCAGATGCGATGATCGACTGAATCTCTTGTCACAGTGTGAACACTTGTAGGGTTTTTCTCCAGTATGGATCATCTCATGCTTTTTCAGATGTGATGAGTGACTGAATCTCTTGTCACAGTGTGAACACTTGCAAGGTTTTTCTCCAGTGTGGATCCTCTCATGTGTTTTCAGAGTTGATGATTGACTGAATGTCTTGTCACAGTGTGAACACTTGTAAGGTTTTTCTCCAGTGTGGATCCTCTCATGTGTTTTCAGATGTGATGAGTGACTGAATCTGTTTTCACAGTGTGAACACTTGTAAGGTTTTTTTCTACTGTGGATCCTCTCGTGTGTTTTCAGATTTGCTGAGTCACTGAATCTCTTGTCACAGTGTGAACACTTGTAAGGTTTTTCTCCAGTGTGGATCCTCTCATGTGATTTCAGATGTGATGATCGACTGAATCCCTTGTCACAGAGTGAACACTTGTAGGGTTTTTCTCCAGTATGGATCATCTCATGCTTTTTCAGAGATGATGGGTCACTGAATCTCTTGTCACAGTGTGAACACTTGCAAGGTTTTTCTCCAGTGTGGATCATCTCATGTGTTTTAAGAGATGATGGGTTAATGAATCTCTTGTCACAGTGTGAACACTTGTAAGGTTTTTCTCCAGTGTGGATCATCTCATGTCTTTTCAGATATGATGACCGAATGAATCTCTTGTTGCAGTGTGAACACTTGTAAGGTTTTTCTCCAGTGTGGATCATCTTATGTGTTTTCAGATGTGATGGATCACTGAATCTCTTGTTGCAGTGTGAACACTTGTAAGGTTTTTCTCCAGTGTGGATCCTCTCATGTGTTTTCAGATTTGATGAAAAACTGAATCTCTGGTCACAGTGTGAACACTTGTAAGGTTTCTCTCCAGTGTGGATCCTCTCATGTGTTTTCAGAGATGATAACACATTGAATCTCTTGTCGCAGTGTAAACACATGTAAGGTTTTTCTCCAGTGTGAATTATCTCGTGCCGTTTTAAAATGGCCGCTGTAGTAAAAGTCTTCTCACACTCAAAGCACATGTACTCTTTCACAGCAGTATGAATTTTCTGATGTTTATGTAAATGAAGCCACAGTGGAAAACTCTTTCCACACACAGAACATGAATACGGCTTCTCCTTCGTATGAACTGTTAGGTGTGTCTTCAGGTCTGATGCCCTAAGAAATGATTTGCCGCATTGATCACATGAGAACGGCTTCTCTCCGGTGTGGATCCTCATGTGTTCTTTAAGGTATGAAGAATGACCGAAACTCTTCCCACATTGATCACATGTGAACGGCTTCTCTCCGGTGTGGATCCTCATGTGACGCTCAAGATGATGTTTGGCTGTGAAACTGGTTCCACACAGAGTGCAGGTGAAAGATCTCTTGGCTCTTTTCTTTAAAAATGTCTTTTTAGTCCTTGAGCGACTCAAGGGTTTTCCTCCAGGTTTGACATGTTCTTCCTCCTCCACTTCACTCAGTTCTTCTCTCTCCTCACTCTCTTCCATCAGGTCTGACATGACAGAAAGAAATAATGCATTTAATTTTCAGTAAATCAAAATAATTAAAAGAGAGAAATATAAAGTGAAAGGACGTGAAAGTGAGCTCTGATGTTTTACATAATAAATTTTATGTCCTTAAACTTTCCATGAATGAGGTAAATTTAGCCTCCAATTATTGTTTTTAAAACTTTATAGGCATGAATCCCATGTTTCTTTAGCAAGAACTATTAATTTGATCAATGACACAAATATCTAACATGATGTTGACATTAAAATACACAATGCTGCCATTTTTGACACCAACTTTGGGATTGATATTTGTTTTACTAAAAATGTTTTAAAGTCACACTATGCAAGAATTGTACCTTAATATAACAGCTTCAAAGTCACTTCCGCTGGAAAAACCAGCAAGTTTGAAAGGAGCGTCCCCGACAAATCTCGCGAGATTCACGACATGCTTTACGACAACGACGTCACACACATCATCAACGACACATGAAGCATGAAGACTAGGGTTGGGTATCGAGAATCGAGTATCGATTGGAACCAAGACTAACTTTTCGTTTTTCCCGGAATCGTTCAAAAATTAAAATTTCGATTCCTAGTTTCGATATTCACAGTCCGCCGAGCGTAAGAAGAAACCGCTGAACAACACCAACGAAGAAGCGTCTACTGGAAGTGTTGGCATAACCACGCGAGTCGAACATGAGTACCTTACGTCGGCAATCCAAAGTGTGGCTTCACTTTTCTAAAAATAACGAAATCTCGGCAAAATGCAAAATTTGTGACAAAAGGAGTATTTTTACAGAAGGATTATTTCCTTCAGAAAGGCTGTTGGTTAACAAGGTTAGCTAAACTTCTTTGACCCTGCCTCTTAAAAGAATCGGAATCGAGAATCGTTAGGAACCAGAATCGAAACAAAAAATCGGAATCAGAATCGTTCAAATTCAAACGATACCCAACCCTAATGAAGACACTAGCGCGCATTTCAGCATCTTTTCTGTTTCTTTTTTGAAGTTCTACAAAGATGTAGGCGCAAATTTAGATTGATAAGCAAATGTTCATTCATTTGTTTCGTAGACATGGCTGGTGTAGGCAGGCTAAAGACAGACTGTTGATCTTTGAAAAAAAATGTTTGGTTCAGGTTTGAAATGCGAAAACAAACGTAAGGCTGTATCTCCTTAACGCTTTATCGAATTCAGACCAAACTGGATACATGTCATTACAAGCATAACTTGAGGGTACATGCTGCGTTTCGGTGCAGCGCCACTTACTGGTCCGGAGATATGAAAAGTTATTGTATTTGCTTATAACTTCTGAACGGTTTGTCCAAAAATCATAAATGTGGTCTCATTAGATTCAGGGCGTCCTGCCAGTCGACTGATATCAAATTTTCCCAGATCGGCCATTTTGGCGCTTGGCCATTTTGAATTGTGCGCTAAAATGCTGTATTTTCTGAACGCATGAACGCATTGTTACGAAACTCGGTATGGGTCATCAGTACCATGCCTTGAAAAAGCCTGAGAAGTTTAGAAACAGCGCCACCTAGTGGTAAAATGTATTTTTCAAATGCTTATAACTCTGGGTGTGGTTGACTGATTTTCACGGGAGTCTAGGTGGGTTCCTGAATCCTTGCCGAATCCACAGATACCAAACATGCTAAGTTTCGTCTTACGGTTTGTGTAGCGTTGTGATTTAGCGCTTAAAAACATTTGCCAATATCTTCGATACCGTTAGTCCGATCGAGACGAAACCACCGTCAGAAGTTTGGAACCATAGGTTGTTAACTATTTTCACCAAATTTCAATGCTTGAAAATTGACTATTTTGGGGCTGCACTATGATCCTAATATACAGTGTTTGAATATATCATCAAATGATTCTTGGTCTAAATATGCCTGAAAAAATAGGCATATCAAAATATTTCTGTTTCTAATTATAACATTATTCTGTTTCTCCATTAAAATAATGGCAGATATCTAGAAATGTAGTAAAGAACTGTAAGAAAAACAGATAAAAACAAAAACAGAAATAAATGTATAGTAGCAAACAAATCCCCTCAGTCTGCTGACACTGATGAAATGAGCTTTAAGTGTCAATTTACAGGAGATCTGAAGACATCAGCATAATAAATGAGGTGAAAACAGGAACTATTGTCATGAAATAAAGAGTGTTCTCAGCAGATCTGTTAATATTGATGATCCTCAGACTATCAACACTCATTCAACAAGCCATTCAGGATCATCAGCAGATCATCTCACTTTATTCTGAGTGTTTGCTGTTAGAAGGATAAAAGCCTATAAAAATGCTCAATTCTGTAATTTCTCTCAACGTGATATGGATAAAACATCCATAATATAAATAAACTAATGACACTCAGGTTATAACTATCACAATATGTCCATATGAATGTAAATATAGGGCTGATAGCACATGTAGCACTAGGCTACATCTCAGAGACCCTATTTGATGTGTGCGTTTGTTTTCATCTGGATAAGTGTGTTTGTTTGCTCATCTACGATATGTCTATGAGACTATTCCTGTCAGATGTTAAATAAACATTAAGAATATTTAAGATGTTTATGATTTAGAATGTAAAACTGACTTTTTAAAGAGGTTTATTCGATAAACATATTTTAAAAAGTCAGATCAAGATGCTGTCCTCTGGAAGCTTCTGCTGTGTACATCTGATAAACCTTAAAGGATCACTCCACCGTTTTTTCATATTATACTATGTTCGGTAACTAAGACGAGTTGATACACACCTCTCTCGGCTCAATCGCTCTGACGCGCGGCGACTCTTTGATAGCAGTTAGCTTAGCTTAGCTTAGCCCAGTTAGCTTTCGCGTTCGCGAGGGACACTCGCAAGGTCTCTCCCTCTCTACAGTGCACGCGCAGCGCGCTATATGTTATGCGCGCAGTATGTTGTTTCTCGCTCTAGATTCCGGAAGATTTTAAATAATTTGCGGGCATCAGGCAGACGCGGCAGATGACGTCACGGCTCGCTCGCGCCGTACTTTCCCTCATTGAGCTTTAGCGTCGAGTTTTCTGAGGCGATGAGAGCAGTTCACGGTATTTCTCATCTCTACACACCCATCACACACACTTTAAACAGTTTGATTAAGCGACAGACTCATTTCAGTGTTGTTTTCATCGATCACAGCGATACTTGTGCGTCTTTTCTGGCGTCTTCGTCCTGAAATACACATTTAGTGCAGCAGCAGCGAGCCTGAGGAGAATATGTGGAGTTCATTCAGCCCTGAGCGATTGTGTGATTGTTTCAAGTCAAAAGTAAAAGTTTAAGATCTGTGAGGGGAATTAGGGAATCGATCTTACGTGTTATACTGGAACAGAGACTGCTTGTTGTGTTGTTGGATGCGTTATTAGCCTATAATGAGACACACGTGAGACATTAAAGCAGTGTTAAAATATAAATAGCGTTTTACTCTTGGAACAACAGTGCTTGTGTGTGGTGCTTTTTATTTTTAAAAGTTTTATGATAATTACTGTTTCTGTTATTCTTTTAAATGATCTAACTACTTTTTATAATGATTAATGTAGTTATCATAAGATCAAACTAGCTATATTTTGATAATTTGGTCATATTATGCTGCTGTAATTATTCATCAGTTTATGAAGATGAGTGTCTTTAGTGATTATTTTTGTGTTATTGATGTTTTATCCATGTCATAGTGAGAAATAACAGTATTGCCTTTCAGTGTAGCAGTTTTTTTTTTTTTTTTGGCTTTTATATCCCGACTTAAATAATTTGTTTCTAACAGCAAACACTCAGAATAAAGTGAGATGATCTGCTGCTGATGATCCTGAATGGCTTAGTTGATAAGGCTAAGTATTGGCTCATTGGGAGCGTATGAAGAGTTCAGATGCAAAAGCCTCTAAATGCCATTTGAAATTTTCTTCTTTAATGATTATTTTTGTCAAGCTTGTATATTTAAGTTCAGTAATTTCACTTACATGGCAATGGTAATTACCTATTAATTGTTATTTAAGTGAAATTACTGAACTTGAATATACAAGTTTGACAAAAATAATCATTAAAGAAGAAAATTTCAAATGGCATTTAGAGGCTTTTGCATCTGAACTCTTCATATACAGGTTGAACAAGAGTGGTGCAAGAATGATTGGAAAGTTTCAGGGACGTATAATAATATAATTATATATTTATTGTATTTTATTGCAGTTACATCTGGGATAATTTAATTTTAATCTCCATTCACTACATATTTCTCTATTTAAATTATTTTGATTTAGAAAATTTTGAAATTCTCATGCTTAAATGACATTTTCTGTTTTGTCAGACCCGATGGAAGAGGGCGAGGAGAGAGAAGAACTGAGTGAAGTGAAGGAGGAGAGAGAAGAACTGAGAGAAGTGAAGGAGGAGAGAGAAGAACTGAGAGTAGTGGAGGAGGAACATCATGTCCAACCTGGAGGAAAACCTTCAAGTCGTTCCAAGACTAAAAAGACATTTTTAAAGAAAAGACAAGCCAAGAAATCTTTCACCTGCACTCAGTGTGGGAAGAGTCTCACAACCAAACAAATGTTTCATCGTCACATCAGAGTTCACACCGGAGAGAAGCCGTTCACATGTGATCAGTGTAAAAAGAGTTTCCCATACAGACAAAGTCTTGTGCGTCACATGAAGATCCACACTGGAGAGAAGCTGTTTTCTTGTGATCAGTGCGGCAAATCATTTCTTAGGGCATCACACCTAAAGACGCACCTGAGTGTTCATACGATGGAGAAGCCGTATTCATGTTCTGTGTGTGGAAAGAGTTTTTCACTGCTGAAAACTTTACATAGACATGAGAAAACTCACACTGGCGTGAGAGAGTACGTGTGCTTTGAGTGTGAGAAGACTTTTACTACAGCGGACATATTAAAACTGCATCAGAGAATTCACACTGGAGAAAAACCTTACAAGTGTTCACACTGCGACAAGACATTCAATCGATCAACAAATATGAAAACACACGAGAGGATCCACACTGGAGAGAAACTACACACATGTGATCAGTGTGGGATGAGTTTCTCTATTATAAGTAAACTGAAGCTACACATGAGGATCCACACCGGAGAGAAGCCGTTCTCATGTGATCAATGTGGGAAGAGTTTCAGTCAATCATCATCCCTTAATGTTCACATGAGGATCCACACTGGAGAGAAGCCGTTCTCATGTGATCAGTGCGGCAAAACATTTCTTAGGGCATCAGAGCTGAAGACACACCTGAGAGTTCATACGAAGGAGAAGCCGTATTCATGTTCTGTGTGTGGAAAGAGTTTTTCACTGCTTCAAACTTTACATACACATGAGAAAACTCACACTGGTGTGAGAGAGTACATGTGCTTTGAGTGTGAGAAGACTTTTACTACAGCGGGCAATTTAAAACACCACGAGAGGATTCACACTGGAGAAAAACCTTACAAGTGTTCACACTGCGACAAGACATTCAGTCTGTCTTCATCTGTGAAAACACATGAGATGATCCACACTGGAGAAAAACCTTACAAGTGTTTACACTGCGACAAGAGATTCAATCAATCATCATCTCGGAAAAAACATGAGAGGATCCACACTAGAGGCTGACATTTTTTCGGGAATCCCACGGGTCCCGGGATTCCCGTGGGATTCCCGCAGGATGGGAGTCATCTTTGCTATTAATCACGGGATTTGGACGGTACAGGATAAATGGTTAACGGGAGCAGACGGGAGCGGGAATCAACCAATAGCAAAGACGACAAAAAAAAAAGCAAAAAGTAAATGCACCATTTTGTAGTTTCCTTTTAATACGCCTAAAATGTAGCGAAATTAAAAAATAACTACACGACCCAGCCGTTCCAGAAGCCATCAGTGCTTTTTGTCACGGCTTACCGCCGGAATTCAAAGAGCAGTGATGGAGGGAGCTAATAGCCGCGGAGAAGTCGATGTGGCAAAAAATAATATTTACAGCGCAAAATCAGAAGTAATGACATGTCTATTAAGTTCACAGAGCTGGTCGGAAAGTCTGAAAAATTAAGTATGTGAGAGTAGAATGTGACGGTGATAGCACGATGTACGCTGCTTGTAAGACATGCATAAAAGGGGGTCGCACACCGGACGAGAAGCACCGCGCCGTGTCTAGGACAACTCCAGGTAACGTATCGCACACTGGACGCGCACTTTCTCATCAGTGTATGGCCATCAATATTGTTATGTTTAATGACATGAAATTAAGACAATGTCTGTTCTATGTTAGATTGTACTGTACAATTAAATACAATCATTACTGAGTCTGCAGTCTGAAAACTTTACCTCAGAGCATCCGTTCACTGAATGAATTGAGAATCTCAACTGAAAAATCCAATAACATCAGCAATTGTCATTCAAGCAGCTGATTTCTGTAAATGAATGCAAAACTAAATGTAGGCCTATATTACTGCATAGGGTGAAGTCAGGATACATTAGCAACGATTTGAGACAAAAATACTTTAATTTTTATATAAAACTATGTAAATGGCGCTCTGTGGCACAGCAGGGTTTTGAACACGGTCCTGAGCCGTCGCTGGGCGCCGCGGACAGACACAGAATGTGTTCGAATTTTAAAGATTCTGCGCGGCGCTGAGCTTCTCGTCCGGTGTGCGACCCCCCTTTAGTCAAGTAGCAAGTGATTCAGGGATGAGCGGTCTGAAGAGGCACGCAAATTCAGGAAAGAATAAGCCATGTTGCAGCCTACACAGCAACATATAACTAAAATTTGTCTCATTATGCAAGAGCATAATTGATGAAAATCGTTTAAAATGTAATTAAAAAAAACTATAAATGTAAACTGTAAATGTATTGTTTACTCAACAATAAATGAGTAAAATGCAGCTTTATGTGCTGTTTGGGTTTATTAAATTGTAGACATGGTGTGATGTACTGTTTTTCTTTTATTTACTGTCTTCCATTTTCTGGAGAAAATCTAGAAACTGGGGCTCAGCAGCTGGTCTAAAACAGGATGGATTGGAGAGGATGCAGAATTGCAGATTAAATCAAATTCTATGTATTAACTAAACATTAATTGAAGAAAAAAATATATATGGGAGCGGTACAGGAGTGGGAGTCAGTTTAAACAGGAGTGGTATGGGAGTGGGAGTCAATTTACCAGGAGCGGGATGGGATGGGATTATTTTTTAAACTTTGGTCTGGGAGTGGGACGGGACAAGATTTCTTTCTATGGGAGTGGGACGGGACAGGAGTGAAAATCCACTCCCGTGTCATCCTCTAATCCACACTGGAGAGAAACTACACGCGTGTGATCAGTGCGGGAAGAGTTTCTCTATTAAAAGTCACCTGAAACGACACATGAAGGTCCATGGTAAGTAGTTTATATTCATGTGCTGAGCAACAAAGTCTCTTCTGTGTAAGTTAGCCACACATCACCCTATAGCCAAATCTCTCCTCTCCACCTATAGCCGGTGTGTGGTGAGCACAGGACACTTGGTTGATTGATTGATATCAATTAACTTGTTCAACCAACAGGAATGTGTAATTTGTCAATTCAGATCAATGTGAAAAAATAAAAAATTGCAAATTTGCTGTCTGACAGTAGGTGGTGCTCATTTAAAGCAGAAATACAGCATTATACAGGGCTCTAGACTGTGACTATTTACTCTATTATTATTTACAATTAGATAGCCCTGACTATTTAAAGGGCTATAGACTGGTCATATTTTGCCACCTTTTTTTCCTGCCGGTGCGAGAGAGCTCCCATTTCTGCAAACATCACATGGCAAACGAAAGCAGAATGAAACCCTGCTACTTGTCTGAGCTGCGCAACGCAAACAGTTTATCAGCCCCGATCAATACTAGACTAGAGTTTACTCATGGGCCGACCTCGATTACACAACAACATACTATACAGCGCTGGCAAATCCATTAAAGGGTTAGTTCACCCAAAAATTAAAATTCTGTCAATATTTACTCGCCCTCATGTTGTTCCAACCCCGTAAGACCTTCGTTCATCTTCGGAACACAAATTAAGATATTTAAGATATTAAGATCGCTCCTGCATACAGTCCGTAGGCTTCTTGAGGGACTGGCTCTTGCTGTCCTCGAAAAGTCATTAAAGACATCGTTAAAGGGTTAGTTCACCCAAAAATGAAAATTAAGTCATTAATTACTCACCCCCATGCTGTACCAACCCCGTAAGACCTTCGTTCGTCTTCGGAACACAAATAAAGATATTTTTGATTAAATTTGAGAGCTGTATAACTACCACATTGGCTCCTAAAGGACTGCCTCTTGACGGCCCAGAAAGTCAATAAAGAAAATGTTTAAATATCCCAAGTGACTACCGTGGCTCAACTATATGTTTATCAAGCGACGAGAATACTTTTTGTGCGAAAAAACAAACAAAAATAACGAGTTTATTCGACTATTTCTTTTCTTCCTTGTAGGCCAGAACGAGACTTCCTTAGATTTCCACGACGCATGCGCGAGAATTGCGATCTGAAGTGGTGTAAGCACATGTAAGCAGATCGCAATTCTCGCGCATGCGTCGTGGAAATCTAAGGAAGTCTCGTTTCTGGCCTACAAGGAAGAAAAGAAATAGTCGAATAAACTCGTTATTTTTGTTTGTTTTTCGCACAAAAAGTATTCGCGTCGCTTGATAAACATATAGTTGAGCCACGGTAGTCACTTGGGATATTTAAACATTTTCTTTATTGACTTTCTGGGCCGTCAAGAGGCAGTCCTTTAGGAGCCAATGTGGTAGTTATACAGCTCTCAAATTTAATCAAAAATATCTTCATTTGTGTTCCGAAGACGAACGAAGGTCTTACGGGGTTGGTACAGCATGGGGGTGAGTAATTAATGACTTAATTTTCATTTTTGGGTGAACTAACCCTTTAAAATAGTCCAAGTGACTACAGGGGCTCAATCTTGAGTTTATCAAACGACGAGAACACTTTTGTGCGCAAAAAAACAACAAAAATAACGACTTTATTTCAACTATTCGTTTATTTCTCCCTCTGCGCGAGTCAGGTTACTAGTTTAATAGCGTAAGCTTCTGTTATTGTACGTCACACGCATCACACACATGACCAGCGTCGGCCAATAGTGAGCCTACGTGTGACGTAGCTCTACGCAATACACTACGTTAACTGACTACAGGCCCATGGAGAAGGAAGTGAATAGTTGAAATAAAGTCGTTATTTTTGTTGTTTTTTTGCGCACAAAAGTGTTCTCGTCGTTTGATGAAGTTAAGATTGAGCCCCTGTAGTCACTTGGACTATTTTAACGATGTCTTTAATGACTTTTCGGGACAGCAAGAGCCAGTCCCTCAAGAAGCCTATGGACTGTATGCAGGAGTGATCTTAATATCTTAAATATCGTAATTTGTGTTCCGAAGATGAACGAAGGTCTTACGGGGTTGGAACAACATGAGGGTGAGTAAATACTGACAAAATTTTCATTTTTTTCATTTTTAACCCTTTAATACCCCTTTTCCACCGAGGCAGAGCTGGTGCTGGTTCGGAACCAGAGCCTAGTTTCAAATCGGTTCTTTGTTTTTCGACCACCAAAACACCTGCTCCGAACCAGTAAAAGTGGTTCTTAAGTAGCACCAAATCATTGCTGGTCTAGAAGTAAGAACCGCTTACGTCAGCGGCTGGGGGCGGGGTTACCGTGACCAACAAGACGAATAGAAACTTTTTTAAATATTAGCTAATCATGCTAATAGCAGCTCGATTGTAGTCTCCGTCAATGCAAGTTACGAGGATCTGCACGAACGTGCTGGATTCGGCATGTTTGGATACTGATGTAGGTTTGCAAAGCCATGAGCATAAATAATAACGCAACAACCGCCATTGTTAATGGAAGGCTTGTTCGAGACGCATCGGAGCGGCGTGGACTGATCGGAGCTGCGGGAGTGTTTGGAGAGCGTACGACTCCTTTTGCTTTTGGATCACTCTCGCAGTTCGAGATTAGAAAGATTCGATTCTTTGAAAGCTCGCCAGTCGAACCGACTCCGATCCGAACTAGCTCTAGCCAGACTGATCTCATGAAGTAGCGCGTGTATGACACGCCAATTCGTATTTCCATTTTTGGCGTGCTATCAAGACGCATAATCGCTTTTTAGCGTGTTTATGAACGCTGTTGACTTAACTTTATATAAATATATGACTTACCTCAATCCCATCTCTAAACCTAACCGTCACTGGGGTTAATGGCATTTATGACCGGAGATTTGACTGTGTACAGACACGTGAAATCACTCGGACGTTAATGGCGTAGAAATACACGCGGATAGCTCAAAATGCGTAGAGATAACGCGCCACTTGACTCGAAAGTGGCGTGTATGTTTACGCAAAAGTCATGATGTCATGTTGATCTAGCTCTGAACCAGCACCTGGTTCTTGTTGGTGGGAAAAGGGGTATAAGAAAGCATTTTAAAGCTTTACAATAAGGTTTCAATAATGTTCCTGGCACCAAGAAGACGCGGATTCATGGGCCCACCCAGATTGACATGTGGCCCATCCAAACAGATTAATAAAAACAATTTAAATTTTTAATTTTTATAATAATAATGAATTAAGTTTGGCCATACGGCCCGCCAAACAC